CTATCTTCTCATAGCCAAAAAGTTAGAGGGACAAAGAAAGAGGACGGGAACGTCCGAAGATTGCAGAACAGGAGGCAAGCAAAACTCGGATCACAGGTCTCAAGTGCGAGCATAGTCAAACGGGCCAAACGACTGTACAAAACCCTTATGTATTTGAAACACGATAAAGACTTCAATCCCACCGCCGGATATGCAAAACACTCCTTTTCGATATGCAATTGAAAACATGATAAACTCCTATCTTCAGTGCCAAAATAAGTAAGCAGAAGAACTTCCTCTATAAAGAAAAGATTCCAATTGCAGCTATCGCAAAGAAGATCCCAGATGACGAATCGCACATAAACACACTCCCACAAAACTAGACCAAACAGCCTGAAGACCCAGGATCCAGATGATTAGTCCTACATCACCAAAGGAAAAAACTGATTAAACAACAACAATACTTCCTAAGATAAAATCGGAACCCGGCTGATTAGCCTTTCGTGAAGGTGCCTACATGCAAAATAGACCGAACAATCGGGCAAAAGCCACTCGGGATGCAGAATCGAAACAGGAAAGACCGACCCTTCCTTTCCCGCCTTTTTTTTTTTTTTTTTTTTTTTTTTTTTAAACCGTAGTAAACAAGAGCAATGCACCCAAAAATGAAGGAGATCTTTAAGTCATAACTGTCGGGAGGATCTTGCCGGGGCTAACAAATCCTGGATGACATGTCACATATACAAGCACAACCCCACAAAAGACGGATCGAACGACTACTCAAACCAGACAGGATTGAAAACGCAGTAAAATCTTCTACCTCGCCGTCAGATATGCAATTAAAATACGATAAATCCTTCCCACCCCTTTTAGAAATGCATTTCAAATCTTGATAAGCTCCGTTCTACAGTGTTGACAAATACGTAAGCAGGAAAACACCTCATTGGTAGAAGAACTAAGTCTTATTACAACTACCGTATGATGATTCACACAAAACACACCGCCCCCAAAACCTAAGCCAATCAACAGGGAGACCCCGGACCTGGATAACTAGTCCCGTATGAAGCACTGCTAGACATCCAAATAGCCGATATACGGGACAATCCTAACCAGGACAAAGACATATTTCTAAAAGAGAGTCGAAATTATTATCCTTCATAACCAAAGGAAAAACTTGCTAATATATAATTAATAATCCATTCTAAGACAAAATCAAAATCAGGATGATTAGTCCTAAATGAAAGTAACCCCACTCCGACTATACTGAACGACAGGCCAAAGACATCAAGGATACCGAATCAAACATGAAAGAAAGATCTTTCATCACTTCCTTTTTTTTTTTTTTTTTTTTTTTTTATAACGGACAGAGAATCTTGCAACATAACTAACTAGAGATATGCGTCGGTTAAATCCACAAGGTCGTGAAGTCATAGCCGTTTAGAATATATAACAGTAAATCTATGTGCTCCCGCAGCAAAAATATCGAGCGGATCTTAAGGTCCTAACCATCAAGAGGATCCAGATATTTCTAACTTTAAGACCTCTTTAGGGTTTGTTGCTACATATAAAACTGAAGAAAGAAGTGGTGGTGAAATTTTGCAAACGACAGAACACCAGTGCAACTGCCATAAATTGACGGAAAGGTCTTTGTCATCTGTCAAAATTTAAGGTTAACGAAGCATTCATCCTTAAACGGGAAAGGAAAATGTCTGCCCAGTGAAAGAGATTTCGTAATTTCTAGGGGTCGGTTGATCGTAAACGGTCAGAGTAGAGTGGCTACCTTCTCTCGATATATCCTTCTGCATCCTTCTCCCTACCTCTTCTTCTAAGTCCTAACAAAGCTCCTCTCCATAGTAATCCTGTCAAAGTTGATCTGCTTAAAAGGTGAATGGTGAGCCAAAAAAGTAAGATTCATAACTAATCCTGAGTCACTAGCCTATGGGAAGAGGTAAGGCTCGTAAGCGAAGTGCTGCAAGACCATCTACGGTCCTAAATCCTTGGTAACGATGACAAGAGGGGTTGCTAAAGTTTTATCGATGACTGACACAAGAAAGGTATTGGAAAGGTGACGCGTTGGTGCTGAGGCTGAAAGCTGGCCTCAAAAATAGAGGACAGTTAACTGCCTGTTCCCTACAACGAGTAATAATGAAGACAACATTATTAGGTGATGAGGATCTTTAGACTAGCGACTGCAGCCCAAAAGTTGCTAAACTCCTTTCTTTACTCTAAGGTTTCCTAAGGCAAATGGAATACACTGAAAGTTGAGGGTACATTAGAGGTGTGAATAGTTGCTTGCGTGGCGAAAAAGCTGGTATTGGCCTGGTCAAGAGTCTGGTTCAGTGTTCTGCGGTCCGTAGCCAACAAGTTTACAAACCCTTCTAGGTTCTCTATTTCGTAACCCAAACGGAGATCATTCAAAAAGGTGACAGGGGAGTCGAGATGGTAGGGGCTATGGATTAATAGGGGAGGTTTTTAGCCCTTGCCGAGTAGTGCGATTCATGAATTCAGCACTGACGTAGTGCAGTGAATGCAGCAAGCTAGAACCGGTGATACTGTTCCGACATCCTTAGATCTTGACCTTGCAGGCAAGGAATGGTTGCTGTCTGGATTAAGGTGACTGACAAAAGTGGATCTGAGGATAAGCGAGCTTTGGTACAGGGAATGACATTAATCATCGGAAAGAAGGGTAGTGGAGAAGTAGTTGACAGCTCCTTTTAAATAAACTTCGGGCATAACACTGCTTTTTTGGTGAGACCTTAAATGAGTGTCCTAGATATCTGATCGCTAATTTCTCTTATGTGTGCCTGAAGACCTAGGTAGGTGAGGTAGCATACACCACAGGCTTGGATTGAGAAACTACAAGGACTAGCGATATCTTAAAGCAGGGAGAATGGGAGAAACAAGTGATTAGTCGAGAAATGCAGATCGTCGTATCATGCGTAAGGCGACCCACAGTCAGAAAGTCTACGGAGAGAAGTTCCCGTGATATAAGGTGATAGTTGAAAGCTGCCTGAGAAGCTGACACAAAGGAAAGTGAACCAGAAAAGAAAGAGGTGGAAGGAGAACGGGGTGGATGACGCGAGGATGTTACCTTATGGGCTTCAATGGTTCTGTTCCGCAGATACTTCTTCCAAGCCTGAATCTGACATATACAAGGCGAGGCTCCTTCCAGCTGCATCCGGTCCCAAAGATTGTGGAGAGGACATTCCTCTGCGCAGAAGGTGGAAAGACAGCCATTGCTACAGTACCTTCTCATAAGATCTGGGAAGTCGGTCCAGGATGTGTTCGCCGCCATGGTCCTGGGCTGGCAGTTAGGCTAAAGTTAACGAGTAGTGACGATGTAAGATGCCCGAGGAGCAAAGGGGACGGGAGAAAAGTAACAATGTTGCTACTTAAGTGGAAGTTTGAAGATGGAGGTTGCCTTGCCGCCTGAAGCCTGTGGTGGTGAGGCAGGGCTCGCAACGATAGTCTTGGTGAGCGATAGTAAAGGTGAGCAGCGACAAGAGAAAGGCCTAGCCGTTCAGCTTAGTGTCATTATAGCGAGTAAAATCCGTCCACGTAATATTATGTAGACGTTACGTTTGCGGATAGTACAATTCCCACTCACCGACGTGAGCTGATACCGATTTTCAAGGAGTACTTTGACAAGGCGCGAGGCAAAAAGCCTAGATTACCTGTTCTGAATAACCTCTCCGGTTCTTACGATGCCGATGGTAGGTAGAGTCCCAGTAAAGTACGATGGGGTTTTGGTCGTAATATTATGACGTAGGTGAAAGTTTGCAGAGGTGAATACTGGTGGTAGGCTAAAATAGGGCAGAAGAAAATAGCAAGTTACTCAGAGTGGTAAAGCTATGGGGAGAGGCGGGGATACTTACCTTATTCGGAAAGATACGAGGGAATTTTACCGTACGCGGAAGAGCAGTAGCGTTGACACAGCCGTTCGTCTTGCTGCAGGTACCAGGAACGGAGCGTCGCCGATCATGTACGGGAGAAAACGCCAAAGACGAAAAGCCACCTCCCGAAAGTGAGCGGGCAGGAAATGAACCGAAGCCAGCAACGACCCTTGAGCCCGATAGGGCTTGAAATAGGCGAGGCTGCCATATGCCGCAGCCCCATAATCCAAAATGGGACTACCCTCTTCGGGGTTCAGCTGGTGGGTCCCACCACCGTCGGAAATAGCTGGAGGCCAGGTCCAGATGCTTCATTCGGGCCGACTTTCACTGGTGCTCCTCCTGGCGAGTGCTCATCTCTTTATTAACTTGGTCCATCCGATGACTCCGGTCTTCATGCTCGTCCAAGTACACAGSCCGAAAATCCTAGTACCGGGCGTCTGGCCAGAGAGCCTGAGTAAGTGTTCAGATCAGTTATGCCTCCTGCCTTGCGYCCTCCTCCTTAACCCCGACATGAAGTGATGATATGCGGTCAGGCTGTAAGCCCCCCCTATTTCCTTGAAGGCATGAAACCCGCATACTGTCATTACCCTTCCAATAGAAGGTGAGAAACCTCGCCTTCTAAGCGTTTGCCGCCTGGGTCTAGGTCCGCTACTCTCCTCTGTGTGCAAAACCATCGCGCATATAGTGCAGAACATGGACAGATACACCTCCACGATTTTTTTTTTTTTTTTTTTTTTGGGAAACGGAGCACAATTTTTGCCTTTTTGCACATCCACGTTAGTGGGGCGGGGCCCTTTGTGTGCAGTTGGGCGTAGCTCCACTACTCTCGACACGTTTCAGTGTTCTAGTAGAAGGTTCACTCTCGTTTTGCACATTTCGATAGTAGTGGAGCCAGTCCCTTTATTGGACGGACCTCCTTTGGGTGTAGGCGCAGCCAGAGGACGGCGGCCCACAGAAAACCAAAAAAAGCAAACGCGAACTATCTCTCTATGATAGGAAGAACGGGGGGAGAAGAGTAGGTTCGGCCGGCGACGGGCGCTGCGGCTGGCAGCTGCACTCGGTCCCCTCGCCGCTTACCGTCTTGGTAAGCCTGTCTGGCGGTGGGCATTTTCGTCACGAAAACGTTTCCGTGGGTGATATCTCTTTCCCTTCGCCTTGTCGTAGGGCTATGGTGTGCTTCCATAGCCACGGTATCAGCAGACAGATACGTCTTCGGCGAACCTCCTCAAGGCCCCGAGCTAAGTTTAACAGTGTTGTGTAACTCGTGTGTAGAGTATCTCTAAGTTCGTAGCGACAACATGGAGCTGGAAGAGTCTGTTCAGCAGGCGCAGGATGCAAGAGCTCAAGTTCCTGGTAATTACCAGCTGGAGGAGGACAGAGTGAAGAAGATGATTCGGGCGTGCTRTGAGGAAGGGATTCTACCSACTAACATSGATTCAGGCAAAATGTCGGTGGAAGGAAGAGAGGCGAAGTTCGTTCTAAACTCTGCGGTAGACGAGATTAAGGTGAAATGGTTGAAAGCAAGAACGGTGACTGTCATATTTCGAGATGGCGCTCGGTTCCTTCCAAAGAAAGTGAAGGAGGATTTGATTAGAGCATATGAAGACGTTTGGATCCGCGATGAGACTTTTGGCCAGGGCTTCAAGAGAGGAAGAATTAAGGTCGAGAGTCCTAATGTCGTCTCATACATTCCAAGATCTCAAGCTATTACAGATTGGATGTTGGCCAAGCGCTCCGACGTCATCGACTTATCTAATACGACCTACCGAACGGAGTTCAAGCCGTGGATGACGCGAGTGGAGGTTCGGGACTGGAGAAGAACTGTTGACGAAAACATCTTTTGGGTGGTGGCCGTTGGCATACCGCTCGATGAGATGGCGTTTATTTATATGCACATCGAAAGAGCAATCGGCAAAATTATTAAGCATCATCAACCAGAGGCGGAATAGTCTGACCTAAAACTGGTCAACCTGAGGTTTGACCTAGATCTGCGGCCAAATCTAATATGAAGGATAAAATATGGGTTCAAACCCATCAAGGAGACCTATTGGAGGATCGTATGGCGTCGGCGGAGTCGGAGTGGTGCAGAAGATGCCGTACCTTCTTTCACCTGAAGGAGAACTGCAGACGTCCCCTTCGGCGAAACCGAGGAGGTACGTCATCAAGACCTCAACAAGCCTCGGCTGCTCCTTGAACCGGGGTTTCTCCTCAACCACAATACCAGGGCCCTCTTAGGGCGCCTGGTGCTTCGGTTACTTCAGCCGTATAGTCAGCATCAAATCGGCAAGCGGCTTCCTCCTCGGCTCCAAACTCCAACATGCAAGCGGTTGTTCAACCTGTTCTTCCACCAGGAGCTACGTTCCAGTTCAATCCGGTGTTCTCGCCAGGAGCGGGTCAAATCCTACAAGGAACTGTGTCCTAGAATTTGGTTCCAGGCCAAGTTAATCCGTGGGCGGTTCTTTTCCAGAATCTGCCGATGCATCCATTCATTTGGCAACAAACTCAAGGCTTAGCTCCTCTGGATGCTTCCTTGACCGGCAGCCCATCCTTCGTCAACCTCCAAACCTACCCTCCATGGACGCAAGCCCCGGGGGGACCAGGTGGTCAAGGCAGTTCTGGCATGTCAGGAGGCTAGGGCTTCAATAATGCAGGTTCTTTACCTTCAGGGGCGGCCGCCCGTGGCCCTAGTGGCTCTCGTTTACGGGGGATGTCCCCCACTAAACAACGAAGGGTGAGCGACACAAGTGGGGTCCACATTCAAGTGGACGAGGTTCGAGCAGAATCTTCTAAAGTTTCCAGCAAAGGTTCGTATCATTCGATTGCCTCTGTCGATCCACGTGGCAATCCCTATTCAGCAGGTAAGCGAAAATCTAATCGCGCCCGTATGAAAGTTCTCTCAAAAGGCCAATCAGGGTTGGAATCTAAGTTGATCCCCATTGTTTGTGTTAACGCTAGAGATGCCCTTTGGGTACTTGCCTGGTTGGGATCGGATGGTTCTCCCTGCTTGTTTAGTACGTCATGTCCGGACCCCCCCATGCCGCATGCTACTGAGTCTATGACCCGCACGCTTTTCCAGAATAAATTTGCTTTAGGTGTTATTCCTGAGGTTTTCATGCCCCGCTTCCTGATTGATATTGCAGGGAAACGTGCAAAGTTTTTTGCTCCCTTGTTTGATGGTCGCTTCGTTATGGGTCAATTAGAACAGTTGGAATCGGAAGGTCCCCGCATCATTCCTTTTGCCAGTTTTTTGGAGGCGAAGAAGTTTGACCTTCGCCAAATCCAAGTTTCACCAACCCTCACAACCGAGTTCTTGTATGAACTGAATACCAAACTTTTGAGGGAGAGGAAACTGGGTTCCCCGTTTATCAGACAGGCCCTTACTGACCCTTGGCCTGTAATCCAAATTCCGATTCAACAAACTGTCCATCCAACGCTTAGGGACTGCCTTCGTAGATGGGCAAACTTAATGTTGCCACGTGGAATGTCCGGGGCCTTGGGGATACGGTGGGTAGAAATAAATGAGGGAGATTGAAAAGTTGGATTCATGACCAGAAATTGGATATCGCCTGCATACAAGAGACTAAGTTATCAGAGGAGAAGATCGGGGAGCTTGGAAACTGGTGGGATGGACCCCAAATTTGGTCCCCAGCTATAGGGTATAGAGGGGGTGTTGCAATTCTTCTGCATAGATCCTCTAACTTTTAGATTATTGATTATTATGTTGACCTTTGGGGTAGATGGGCATGGGTAAAAGTTTGCCTGGAGGATCAGGAATGGGTGGTTGCCACTGTGTACGCGCCGGTAGACTGTTCTGATCGTCAACGGTTCTTTTATGACCTGCCCTCTTTGATCCCTAGTTGTGGTAATTTGGTTATTACCGGGGATTGGAATACTTCCCTGGATAATCAAGAGGTTGTGAGAAGCCATTCTGACGTGAAGATTTTATTGGAAATGATTTCGGTTATGGACCTAGTTGAACCTTTCTGTTTAATGCACCCAGACTCCCCCGGTTGCACTTGGTTTTCGAACGCACGCGAGAACATCGGGGTTATTCATAGAAGATTAGATTTCTTTTTAATCTCCCCCGATGCATGGAATGCCACGGTAAGGGTTGAAAAGTCCTTTCACCCTATGTCCGATCATAAGCCTGTTCTGACCATCTTTAACTCGAAGAAATTAAGTAGAGGCCAGGGCTACTTTAGGGTTAACACTCAAATTTTGGAGGAAATTAGGTATTGTGGATTGGATGACACGGTTCTGGAAGGATTGAAATGCGACCATGGATTCATTTGCGACTAAATCAGAGTGGTGGGATGCGGGTTCCCGCATCTTTTCTAAACATCTCAGTGTCTTCTCTCGTATTCTGGCAGCCGGTCAGAAAAAGCAGGAACTCGCATTAATCAGGAAAATCCAATATGCTGAGTTC